GTAAGATTATATATTAATACAGTACTAATAGTATTAAAAAATATAAAAATTGTATGTAAACCTTTGAAGAGTCAATACAACACTTGTTTATTGTCATCATTATTCTTAGCTAGCCATGCCATACACTGTGATTTTCAGAAGAAGTTTGGTCATCCAGCGTGGCACTGTGGCCTCTTCTCTGGCAGACCAATCTTGGATGCATGCTATTGATTCCTAAGTATTAACAGACGATCTGGACTTGGTAGTGGTATCAAACAAACATCAAAAAATTTGATTTGTGCATGATGATTAGTCATAAGAAAGTTTGAGGGCCATGCAAAGTACAGGACTTTCCAGGAGAAACAACAAAACAGGAGATTGCTAGAAGATGACCTTGAGGACAAACCCAGGAATAACGGGAGTGTTGGCAGGTATGACTCTGCCCATTCCTCACCTGCAACTCATTCCTTCAGCAGCCACTCAACATATAGACCAATTCACTTCCTTACTTAATGGCTAGTTCATCCTAGTTGTCTTGTTAGTTTTTGCATTCGAGTTTCTGTGTAAAGTTCAGAATCAGTAGGCAAGAGGATCTGGAGAGCTTTCTGGAGGCTCTGAAAGCAGGTGAGTGGTTAATTTTTATGTGAGGCTGCAACCTGTTCATAAATAGGCTATAAAAAAGTGATTTATTGATAAATGATTTCATTAAAAAAATACCTTTAACTGACAAGTAAGGCCAATGATTTTTTACATCTCTAATATTTTTGTTTATGTCTATTGTACTGCACACTGTTACATGTTCATAGGCAACACTCTCATTGTAATAACTATGAAAAACTGAGAATGTGTGAGTGCTCACTTCCCATACACACACACACACACACACACACACACACACACACACACAGCACCATACTTACCTCTGAAGTCTTTGGGGATTGACTTGCAAGACTCAGCGGTGTTCTTCAGGTAGCGCAGTTTCTCTTTCACTGTCTTCATGTTAATTGTGTTTGACATTTGCCTCCTGTCTACATCTGCACGCAATTTACCCACCTAACACACACAAACACACGCACGCACTTACAACATTGTACATAGACAGTTGGCATATATACATGGTAACCCATAGAATTTACCTTTAAAAACATTTCAAAATAACTCAGGTATTTTTTATATTGTCAAATTTATTCTATTGATATATCACAAATTATAGCTAATATCACTGTAAAAATACTGCATTGCAAGTAAAACTCCTGAATTGAAAATGTTACTTAAAGGTTTAGTGTGTAATATTTCTGAGGATCTATTGATAGAAATGCAATATAAGATCCATAACTATGTTTTCAGTGGTGTGTAAAGACCTTACATAATGAACCGTTATGTTTTATTACCTTAGAATGAGCCATTTCTATCTACATAACTGGGGGTCCCCCATTCTATGGACGTCGCGACGTTGCATTGTCATGTTTCTATGGTAGCTGAAAACAGACAACAGCGCTACAGAGCGCGTTTCGTCACTACGTTCTTCTTGTTCTACTTCTGGTAGAATTCAGGCAGTGCAGACACTCATCACTATGTTGAATACATACGTTAGAAGAAGTAGTAATACTATACTGCAGGGGTCGGCAAATAAGTTTTGCATCAGAGCAATTTTCTCAACCATTAGATGGCGGGTGAGAATATAAGGCAAAATATTAGAAGACATTCTTTTGGTGTTCAGTTAGCTCAGTTGGTGAAGTACAGGACTTTCCCCTAGATGGTTGTGTGTTTGATTCCACCTCAGGGCAACTTTCTTTTTCTATCTTCAACAAATGGACTCTGCAGCGACTGTTTTTCTGGCTCACATTACAGCATGTGCTGCTGTTTGTGTTTCAGTGTTTGATCCGGATCAATCAACCTTGGAGGTGTGTCAAGCAAGCTACATACAGACTCTTTTAATGTCGTTCAGAATTTAACGCAAGCATCTTGTGCTTTTATTTTGTAGACAAAAACCACTAAAGAGGAAGTGATTATGTGAATAACTGTTGCCGCTATCAAAAGACCATAATCTGGCCACGGGCCAGATATTATTGTTGGCGGGCTTGTCAATTCTTGTATAAACTATATCTAATGTGTGGTTTAGAATGGACTGTGGTGCAGAAACAGTGACAGTGTTTCATACTCTTGGCTTACATTTTCCATGTTACCTGTCAGTGGCCAAGTCACAATAACATATGGTTTTACTGAATAATTAAGTAAATATAATTTCTTAATAAATCTACCTTAAATACCCTCAGTTCTTGACGGGACACTCTCTGCTGTCTCAGAAGAGACACCTTTTGTGCTGTGTCAGCCACCGTAGCTGTCCTACGTTCTTTAAAAGGGTAGGGGGCAGTGGTGGACTGGACAGATGGTTGCAGTTCACAAACCTCGCCACTAGATGCCACTAAATCTTACATACTGAACCTTTAAGTAAAAGTAAGTAAGTATAATCAGAAAAGTGTACTCATGCTGCATAAAAATGTCACCTATATCATTTCATTATCATTACTCATGCATTAACGACTGTTGTAGTTGGTTGATGTGGAGCTAATTTTTACAACTAGGAAAGGAAAAGCAGCAAATATTCACTTTTTTAAAACTGGAGCCAAAAAATGTTTTCACTTGAAAACTTACTTATTCATCTTTGAATTAATAATCAATTTTTTTCAGCTGCACTTGTACTTTTCATGTTTTGTGTACAAAAACCTAGCAACTAAACTTGTCAAATAATTGTAGTGGAGTAAAAAGTATGAAATGTAAAGAGTAGACGTATAAAGTGCCATGAAACAAAAGTACATGTGACTCAGATTTGTACTTAAGGACAGTACTTGAGTAAACCGCTTATCCTGCGTACAGGGTCGCGGGGGACTGGAGCCAATCCCAGCTGACAGGTCACCAGTCCATCGCAGGGCCACACATAGACAAACAACCACTCACACGCATGGGAGAACATGCAAACTCCACACAGAAAGAACACTGCTGCCACCATATGTATATTTAACACATGGTGGCTGCAAATTAATCTTGACAAGCTGCAGAGCTGCAGTCACTGTAAATTTCCAGCTGAACTGATGCTTCTTGAAGACCCCTCTCTCTCACTCTCTCTCTCTCTCTCATCTGCCAGTCACTGGTCTTGTGCAGAGTTTGGCGTGCGTACCGTGCTGCCAACAGCTGCGTGCAAACCGCGGTTCCTCGCGGGTCTATTTCAAGTAGCCGGCTATTTAAAAACAATAAAATATTCTTGGTGTGGTTCATCAACGGTGATAAATTATCTGAAAGTCCTGCAAGGTGCGGACAACTAGACACAACACCAGTGAAGCTGGGGCTCAGTCTCTTTAGCAAGTGTTCCTCCACTGCTACTACACATAAACGTTACGCCTACACATGTGCACTGACACCCCAGGGTTAGGGTTACAATTTGATTTATTCACATACTTTAAAAACATTTAAAGTTTTATTCTTTTTACATGTTTATTTACAGCATTAAACATTTAAATGTATATTTTAACAGGCTGTGTATTAACTTTTGGGAGAGAGAGAGAGACTGTACCTCTTTGGAGAGTTTCTTTGTTTGGCCGTTGTTCAGCTGCTTGTGGATGACACCAACATCTGTCTCCAACTGGCTGAGCTCCTGGCCCAGCAGGCGCAGAGACAAGTCTGTGTACAGTCCCTGGTTGTGCAGGTACTGGTGAGGCTCCAGCCGGGCCGTCATGTTCTTAACCAGGGCCTGGATCTGAGGGAGACGCTGGCTGGATAACGTCACCTGCAGGGAAACACAGACAGAAAATACTCTGCTGTTTCTTGAAAACTGAATGTGTTTTCAGGATTCCAGATTCAAGTTCATATTTTCTTTGGGGACTGTACCTTCACATAGTCACAAGACTCGCAAGTCAGCTGAACAGAAGAGTCTAAAATACCGAAAGTAATCATAATAATCAGTTGTTGAATCCAATCAAAATGTCACATTAGAGTAAATGCTTCTAACCTGCATTGTATGGCTGAGCAGCACTGTATTCATATAATCAATCAAGTCAGAGGTGGAATTGGACTGGACCCAGGAACCACTCTCACCGATGTAAAATGATGCTGGTCGACCTTATTTCTCACCTGTTCCTGCAGGTTGTTCAAAGATCCTTCACAGGACTGAACCTGCTGCAGCACGGACTCGAACTTCACAGCAGGGAACGTCCACAGGTTGGAGTTCACCGCACAAACACACGAGCCATTCTTCCTCTGGCCAGACACTCGCTGAGCCTGGCCATCACCCTGTAGTCACACATGTATAAAAACACTGATGTTGTATAGAGCAAGTGCTATGTCTTCCACTTTTTCCTAATTTCTTTCTCTTAGTGTATAAGAGTCTGAGAGTAGGATATCAGGTGTGACTCACTGAAGACAGCAGCAGAAGGAGCAGCAGCAGCATGTTTAGAGCTGGAGAAATGAATTGTGGACTGAAGCTGTTAGTACTGAAATCACCACCCCTCCTCTTTTCTGTATCCACACAACAGACTTGCTGACTTGCTTCTTGTCAAAGATGAGTCACTATGGAGCCTTAAATCGATTTATGTTGATGTGAAAAGTTTCACAACAGATTTGGTCGGATATTTCTTTTCTACAATGGTTATTTCCCCTTTGTAATTTTCACTGCAGTGTTATCTTCTATTTTTAAAAATGCTGATGTTTGCAAGTCTGTCTCAAAACATTCATTAAACATTATAATGTAATGTATTTTATAAGCAGAATACCGAAAAATATTTCTGCACACCTGAACATGTGATAGGTTCTCAGTAGACAGCACCAGCTCAACTAAAATGTAAATATTATTAATATGATGTGTTTGTCTAAATGACCAGCAGTAAGATAGTGTACAGAAGTTTTAAAAAGGTTTGGGTTTCAAGAATCGGTTCTAATTTGGAATCGGTAACAAATTTCCAAGAACCATGGATTCGTTAAGACACATACATTTTGATTCTTTTATCAGTTCTTAACTTTTAGCATTTTCAGTAGCGCTCCTGATTGAACTGCAGAAAACATTTTATAGTTCATAAAAGTTGCACTTATCTGCCAGGACCGGCTATGCGGACCCAATGTCGCATCATTTGTTCTGCAGTGTCTCAACAAAACACATGAGAAGAGAACTTCTTTTTACATTCCTGTACCCTGGCAGACTGCAGCAAACACACAAGTTTGGCTTAGCTTCATTAAAAAAGAACACAGCGAAAATCAACACCTGCCATAAGGATATTTTGTGCAAGGGAGGAAACAGCTCCAATATGATGAAGCATTTACTTCAATACAGTGTGAATCTGAAGAAACCACACAGTGTTCAATGTGTTGCGATCTCCCAGCTACAGCGCTCCACATATAGCTAACAGCTTTCTAAATTATGAGTCCCCAAAGGTTGAAGGGGAAGATGAACAAGGAGAAAGAGAAAGATTGTGGTGACAAGGGGTTGGAATCAGAACCGAGATTTGTTTAGAACTGGATTAGAGAAGTAGAATTGGAATCAGAATCAAAATCAATAATTTTAAAACGATACCCAACCCTAGATTTAAAGTGAACAAGACAGCTGAGTCCTCAGTTCAGGGGCTAGGGAAGGAAAGGTCAGCTGCAGGACTTGAGAGCAAGAAGTGACTGCTTGTAAAATTCCCAGGGAATTACAGATACGTAAACTCTTTGGCGGATGATCAGAAGGCAGAGGGCAGCTATGTCACGGAAACTTGATAAACTGGTGTCCCACCAATCTGGAAGAATTTCATTTAATCTGGCAAGTTATTGTTCCTGGGATGAAAAAAATCTTAAGATAGCGTTTATTCATATTAGAATTGCATATTTATAGATTAAAACCTGACGTATGCTTCCGTCCAGTTGACTTTTTCCCCTGTCCCATTCAGTCCCATGATAGTTAGTAAAATATACTCCCATCTCACAGCAATCCTAAAGAAATCCCATGACCCACAGTCTGTCTGGTAAAGGAGAGTGATAATTCAGTCTGCAACATTTTAGTGCATACTTGTGGCACCATTAAAAGAGCTTAGTATGCACAATAAATGCTGTAGTTATTATACAACACAACCACATAATTAAACATTCACTGTCAATGCTGCAGTCTGGGTCTGGAATTTCTTCAGAGGATATTTGTGTGCTAAGAGCAGAATGGTCACTTTCTGTTCCTGAATCTGTAACCACATCTCTAGAAAATATACTGTATGTACATCTCTGCAAACCCACAAAACAAAGGCAGTTAAGTAGTCACCGCTTCCCTTCCACATTTAGATTCCCTTCCTATCATCCAGTTACATCACGAAGAAACAACAACCTCCAGCCTCCATAGACTGCAGACTGTTTATCCCAGTTGGGATTTAAAAAACCTTATTTTGTTATCAGTTAAGGATTCTGGTCTGTTTTGGTTCCATGTCTTGTGTTCAACTGTTTTGCGCATGTTTGCACTGTTTTCTGTTGATCTTGTTTAAGTCTGTTTTTGGTTCTGACTTTCTCTTTATGGCCTTGTTATTTTATCACATGTTTAGTTTTAGTTTAGTTTGGGTTAAATTATGACAGAATTGTTCTTTGTGGCGATTTAATATTCATGTTGATGACCCCAACAATGTTAATGCAAACTGACCTTTTAAATATGGCCACTTCTTTTAACTTCAAACAACATGTCAAAGGGCAAACACATAACCGTGGTCATACATTGGACTTGGTTTTTACCTGGGTGTCAGCATTTCCTCTGTGGAATTAGTGGACATGACCATATCTGACCAAGATGTATTGTTTTTAGCATATGCCTGTTCCTCATGCCATCTCACCAAGCTCCGTGTTCTCGCATCTTTAATGAACAAAGTGTTTCAAAGTTTGCGCATTTTCAGAGCCAAAGCCAAACCTGTCTGATTCCAACACCAACAATATGGTCGAACTTCAATCATATCTGTCATCACTAATATTACTGCTCCTCTTAAAGGTTAGGCTACGTCTAAAGCTATTAAGCAACCCTGGATAAATGACAGCATTCGCAGCCTCAAAAGGGAATGCAGGAAAGCAGAGCGCAGATGGAAAAAATCCAGTCTCCAAGTCCATTACCTCAGTCTGAAGGATTTATTAATTAACTACAATAACATGGTTAAGGATGCGAGAACACACTTTTTTAATCCTTACTACACATAAACACAATCCCTGTGGATTGTCCAAAGACTGTGGATCAGCTGGTAAACCAACCCCTCCTTGTGCCTCAGCTGGAAGTAATGATGGCTGTGAATTGTTTTTATCTTATTTTACCAATAAGGTGGTGTCAATCAGAGCCTCTATTACCCCCGCAGCCTCTTACTCAGAGGTTCCTCACCAGCAACAAGAGAGTTTTAAGCAGTTTTAACTAGTTATCCCATCGACTTGTCTGAGAAACTGGTTTAGATCCCTCCTCCCACATAATTTTAGACCAATTTCAAAACTGCCTTTTATTGCAAAGATTCTAGAAGAATTGTGTCAAACAGCTGCTCACTGTACTGGAAAATAACTAATTATTTGAAAAGTTTCAATTGGTTTCAGGAAGTACCACAGCAATGAGACTGCCCTGCTTAAAGTCACCAATGACCTTTTATTTTATTTT